AGCTGACAATGAAACTTACCAAGGCATCCTGGAAGACCTGTGTCTTCCCGATACTCAGTGGAACGGTCAACAACTGAGACGACAGACCGTGGATAGGGATAGACTGATCCCCATGTAAAGTTGTGGAACCATTTCATGAAGCACAAGCTTCTACCAACCTCCCACAATACAACCGTGTCGTGCCAGCGGATGCTTTTGCTACACTCGATCATTTCCGGACGAACCATCGATGTAGGGAAGATTATCGTGGAACATGCTCATCTATGCCTGAAGCGACCGACCAGTGCCTTAGTATTCCCAAATCTCATCATTGCTTTATGCCGAAAAAAGAAGGATCGAGAAAAAATGTTTGATGAGATTTTGCCGGGCATTGTTGGACTCAATAAAGAAAAAATCCCTCTGTTGTTGGGCTACAAGGAAGCCAAAGGAAAGGAACGCGAGGCAACAACATCTCGCGATGCACCATCTCCACATGTCAGGGCAACTTCAAATTCCCTGGAGCAGGCAGTCCAGCACACTCAAGAGCATGTCGGGCAGCTGTCCGACAAATTGATGGTCTATTTTTCCTATGCCAAATGACGAGATGCATTTCTCACCAGCGCTTTGATGGAGTTCCTCCCACACACTAACTTTACCATTCCTACCTTTTCTGTCGTGCTTGTGCCACCGAATGAAGATGCCGAGGCATCTGCAGAAGTACCTCACCCTGCTCCAGCGGCTGCTCAACACTCATATAGTAAAGACAGTCACCAGCCAGCTGCGACAGAAGAGCCCGTCGATCCCGATCCAATCCATGAAGTGTCACCCGATGTAGATAGAGAAGCTAACCTCCAACTCGTTAATCTCCCAGAACCCGCACAAATTATTGAACTTTTGGCGGCTGAACATCCTGATATACCGCAACCGACCGTACCAATTAAAGCTGAGAATCCTACCGTACCATAGCCCACCGAGTCAACAGAGGAGCCGCAATCCGTGATGCCACTGCAAGCTCCCTTGCGTAGGAGCAGACGTCACCTTAGGAAGATATCTCAGCGTGAGGAGCCCTCGCTCACAGTTGTTCCCGAAGGACCTAGCACTCCTCCAGCCGTACCCGCGTCTGACTTCGAACATTCCAGCCCCGCCAAACTCCGCAAGCGCACTCGCCACGCAACCGCTGTACCACCACCATAGAGCCAAGGTACCTTGCATTGCATTCCATTGCATTTATAGCATGTAGTTTTCATTTTCCTTAGATTTAGTAAGCATTGGGGATAATGTTTCTCTCAGGTTTGGGGGAAGTAGGGTTCTCGCATCACTGCATGATAGTAGTAGTAAAATAAATATGCCATGACATTAGTAATTGCTGAATAGTTTTCTGGAATTAGTTAAGGATGCCCGATGATGATGAATTCTGGATGACCAGGATAGAATCTTCATGACTGGTTGAGGATGATAGGACCAACTCTAGGACTTGCTTCTTTAAAACCCTTGAATACACGATTGTATGCTTTCCATGCTTGAGAAACTTATTCTTTATAAGAAAATTCTTAAAATGTCGTGGCATAAAAATTTGACTGCTGAAACCCCACAGTTATATATCTAAAAAAAATTGAAAAATGAATGAAGTATGAATAAATACCTTGGCATATCTGTAGAGAGACACTCATCTATGCCATGGTATATGAGTGAATGAAAGATGTCACAGGATGACTCTACCTGACTAGCTCGGGGGTGGAAGGTATGCTCCCTTTCACCTAGAGTGTGGGATGATAGAGTGATGGGCTGACTCCCCTCGTAGCAGATTTAATAAAAGAAAAGAAAGGCAAGGTAGGAGTAGATTTTAAAAATGTCATGGCAAATTGAGAAAGCTTGCTTAGAAAATTTATAGGTTTGTTAAGCATGGATTGGATACAAGCACGCATACACCCACACAAAGAGTTTTGTTCTAGGGGGAAGTACTTGAATTCTCAAACCTAGTCTAACTTGTTGAAGCCAAATGCTGAGGGCTGAAATTTTATTTCGTAAAACTATTTTGCTTCTGAACTTGTCATGGTATTTTTGTTTTGCTATTATTATTCATTGCTTGAGGACAAGCAATAACTTAAGTTTGGGGGTGTGATAACTCCGTAAAAGGTAACATTTTTGTACCTTTTTACTTAAGTTATTAAATGTCTAAAGGCCCATTTAGAACCATATAGATGCATTTAGAAGCATTTAGTTGCATGTGGTGGATTCCGGTTTGCCGTGGCATTTTATTTTTACAAGTGGTGCTACTTTATAGGAAAGGTATTTGTCTGATGATGTACAGGTATTGAAAGCTAAAAGCAAGGAAAAGAGGAAAGAAAATGTTGTGGCATAAGGAGATTGCTGAGCTAAATGAAAATGTCGAGTTCGACTGGCATTTCGAGAACGCAAAAGGTGAAAGAAGATATTTTCTAGCCAGCTGTCTCCAACTCTCTGTGCCCTCTGCCCGAGAAATCCACCTCGAAGATACGCCTGGAGGGATCGGCGCTGCAACCACCGGTCCTACTGATGATGACGTCTGACCCTGCAGATCCTGGCTGTCCTTGGGCGTCTGCCACAGGATTATGTTGGGCACTCAGCCAACTACCCAGGTTATATCATAGCCTGTCCTGCTCGACTTCTAAGCAACTCAACCATGGTTTTGGGGTTTCTTAGAATAGTTAACACCAAATCCTAGGATTTGTTTTCACCTATAAATAGAGGATGAAGCGACATTGAAGAGGACTTTAGTTCCCCACTGTTTTGAGCTTAAAAAGTTAGAGAAAGAAGTTCTCATCTTTCTCCGTCAATCCCACTTGCCGTGGCATTTCTCCTTGACGAGCCGAAGGGAGTGGCGTTTTGAGCATCCGAGAGGAGCCAGTTCGCTAGGAGCAGATCTTGGTGGCCGAGGGAAGCATTGGACAGTGCACGTCGAAGGCTTTCTCTCCTCCCCTTAGTCTTTTGCTTTTATATTTTGTTGTTGGGTTGTAAGGAACGAATGAATCTTACTTTGTGCTTGTTGATTTCGAAGCCCACCATGAACAAATCCTATTTGGTGGGAGTTCACTTGGATGTTTAAGTTTTTATTTTAATGAATGGTTGTTGTTTTATGCTTTATTTTGTTTTGTTTGTGAGACTTAATGCTTTAAGGTTGTAGGAGCTACGAGAGTAGCCTTTCCTTAGAAGGTGCTTAGGGTTCGAGAGAATGCCTTGGCAAAATATCTTTAGTCTTTGAGAGAAGCTAGGGAGGAACTACAAAAACAAGGGGTTCTAGATAGTAACTAGGCCTAATCCACCTTAGAGATAAGGATAAGATTTCATTCGACTAAAAGGAGTTGTGTATAAACGATAGGTTAGATGTTAATGTTGCCGCAAAAAGGTATTGCCGAGACATATCCTATTAACTGAACCAATTGGGTCACTGCAAGGGCTTACGCCAATCGGTTTTGCCAGGGCATCTTTAATCTGTCGAGTCCCTTACTAGAGATAGAATAGGGCATTTCAGTAGACTCTGTCGGGCAGGGTAAGCTTAAAAGAAACATCATTCAGAGATATAGACTTAGATTTTCCCTGTGACTCCTTCCACTCATTCCCATTGCTGCTTGTCATTTGAGAAAGCTAAAGTCCTATATTTATTAAATCGTATATTTACATTTTATTTTGCCTTGACATTTCCATTTGCTTGCATGTATTACAATTTAATTTGTCACAGCATTTTCAATTACCATCACTCTACCATCATTCCAAGTATCGGTGCCAAAAATATATTATGTTTTTGAAAATTAGGCCCGATCTCGAGACTAACTCTCTGAGTCTCGAGACCGAAAGGGCAATATCGATACTCTCACAACAATACTCTCAGGCTTGAAATCTCTAAATTTTTTCTCAATTCTATTCATCATAGTTTTGATACTCGAACCCTAAAACTAATATTTTAGGCTCGGGAATTCACCCAAAACCATCCTAAATGACTTGGTTTAGTTTCTAAACTTATTTTGAAGTTTTAGTAAGTTGTTTAGGGTCAAAAGGTATAATAAAAATGTGTTATTAACACCTAAAACGTGATTGGCTTGAGAAATCAAAGATAAACCCTAAAATATTTAAATCACCAAATCTTTTGCATATACTTGAAATATATGAAAACTTAATACTCCAAAGGATTAGAAATGCATTACCTTGATTTTAAAAACCTAAAATGAAGCTCCTTTTGCTATCAAGCACCTTTCTTGTTGAATTGGTTGAATTTTCCACCCACCAATTGATGCTATGGAGACTAGGTGAAGAAGAGAAGAAGAAAAATAAATGAAATGAAGAAAAAATGGGGAAGCCCCCACGTCCAAAGCACATAAAACCCCCTAAAGTCATCTTCCATTTTTCTTAATGATCAAATTACACTTTTAGCCCTTGTCTTTTGTCTCATATTTAAAAGTCATTTTTAGGCTAATTGGGCCCAAATCCAACCCAATTAAAACCAACAACTTAAATCATAAAATCTATAGGGTCCACTTACCCCTTAGGAAAACCAGAAACTACTAGCCTGAAATTTGGGGTGTTACAATAATATTTTTTTAAAGTCTTTTTTTGGGTTGGTTCCAAGGCTTCGTCTTGACTAATCCGGACCGACCGACACCGAACACCTGACTTTGGTGGCTGAGTGTTCCAGCATGGATTTTATGCATATATAAGGACTCGAACTTGAGACCTTGCTTAAGCGATATCAAGCTTCTTACCACTTAAACCAAGAAATTTTTTTAGTTATTAGTAATTTGTACATATTTTGCATACACTATTACTTTTATCCAAAATCTTTATAAAGAATAGTAGTTTTTATCATCAAAACTACTTAATAAATTTATTATTACATCATATTAAAAATACATTAAATGACGGTGAATATATATTTTTTAAAATTAGATTAATGTTAAAATTGATTACATTTTTTTATGAAAAATATAGTAAGTATAAACATAAATTAGAAATATTTATAATCAAAATATAAAATATTAGTCCTGAACTCAAGCGGCAACTAGGGGCTCGGTTGTGGAAGGAGGTTCGGGGGAGGAGGTTGAAGATGAATGGAGGTCTTGTTTGTCTGACTTTGCAGCACCTACAACGTTCAACTTTCTCTTTCTTTCGTCTTGCTTCATCTGTACTGCCCTGCACCTTTCACTACAAAACGCTGTATTCCCCCTACATTCAGAGTCGAAAGTAAAAATTTCAAATTAAAAGACGAGTTTCAAAAAATTAAAAAAAAATATAAATTTATAATTTTTTTTAAAAAATATAAATTTATAATTTTTTAAAAAATATATAAATAAAGATATTTGAAATGTATAATAATTTAAATTTTGTAAAAAACGATTCTCTTCGTCCCTTCTTCTTTCGTCCATCTTTACTATACTTGATATTATTATAGAAGATAAATTATATGTTTTATATGTTTAGTCATCTTAATTATTACTTTTGTTCATTTTAATTATTGAGTTATTTTTTATTTTAAAATTATATCTAATATCACATTTTGATTTTACTTTTGTTATTTATCGTTAAAAAAATTAATAGTGATAATAATGTTTACCATAAGATAATGGTGCATCATCATTAATTTTTTATTTCAAAAAATTTCTCTGCCAACAATTCTGTTAGTTTTTTTTAATAATGAATGATCATAATGAAATCAAAATGATTTTGAAACAAAATAATAGTTAAGTGACCAAAATTGAACAAAAATGGTAGATGAGATACTAAATGTGAAATTTACCCCGTTATGTATCTGTGTTCTATAATCGTTTTTATTAACAAAAATTAGATTGAATTAATTCGAATCCAGAATAGAAGCTTGATTAATTTATGGAAGCTTTATGCATTACCTGTACATAAAAATGTCACGGGCAGGAGCTAATCGGCGATTACAAAGGCAACAAGATCGCAAAAAAGGAGAAGTTTGGGAAACTGGGCTCGTTGGCGACAGGGCTAAGAAATGTTGATCTTGGTTTGGGAATTCAGGAGAATCCTCGGAATGTGTCGGGCGTTGGAGTTCGGGAACATCGAGGGACAGCCCTCTCATACTTGTCGTCCTCTTCATGGGATTGCTTGAACGTTTTTCCGGCAACATTCTGCTATTCAAATCTTGTTGATATTTTGATTCCCCTCTCTCTCTCTCTCTCGTATTCTTTTATTTTCTTCGGACAAGAAAGGGAGAGAAAGAGAAATGGAAGGAAAGGCGAGGGGGTTGAGGGGAACGAATGCCAATAAGTAAGGAGATTAAAGAGAGAGAAAATTATGGCCATTACTTGCGGCCACGTGTTCAAATATGCTTAATATATCCAACATTATTATTTAGGGAAAACTACCTATTTAGTCATCCATATGTTTCCACGGTTCTATTTTAATTACTTAATTATGTTTTAAAAATTATATCTAACGTTGAATTTTAACTTCGTTTTGTTCATCCACTATTAAAAAGTAAACATAAGTGCTGACGTTATATTTTTTTAATGATAACATGACATTATTTTATAGTGACACGTCAACACGTTATTATTTTATTGACGACAAATACAAAACCAAAATATAATGTTAAGTATAATTTTGAAACAAAATTAATTGAGTGACCACAAAAGAACTGCGATAATGAATGAGTGACTAAATACGTAGTGCACCCTATTATTTATTAATATATAATGTTAAAAACTATTGATTTTTTTTAATTATATTCTTAATTCTTATTTAATCACATGTATTCAAATGATTGATTGATTGATTTAAATCAAATACTAAAGATATTCATTATGGAGCCAATCCTCATATATCAATTTATTCTTTTCTTAATGTCAAAGTTTAAACCTCTAGTTTGATTTTAATTGATTTAGTTTCTCATCTCTTTATATTAATTGATTGTTAGTTACATATGATTGTTATTTCTAGCGTTTTTAGATTTGAACACAAAAAGCTGTAAGGATGATTCGTAATAGTAAAATAATAATAATCAAACTTGTTAACAGTTACAATATAGAAATAAATCTTTTTTTCAATAATACATTTTTTTATGCATTAGTATTTTTTTGAGTATTTTTAATTTAATATATATATATATATATATATATATATATTAATACTTTTATATAATTGTTTTTTTAATTTTATAGTTTTCTAGATTTTTAATTTCAATATATTTATAAAATTTCTAAATCTTTTATTTTATTTTATAAGTTTTTAAAATTATTTTAAATTTCTTTTGCTTAAAGATTAAAAATATCATCGAACTTTTCTTAAAAAATAGTTAAATCTTGATATCGCATCAATAATCATTTACATGTAAACTCTTGCATTAATATTGATAATCAGTATGCTAGTACAATAATATTCAAAGATAATTTATGTTAGTTTATTGATTTAGTTGATGTAACTTTGCACTAAAGGGTGTGTGTTTGAAAGAATTTAATTGATCTTTTATAAAAAAAAAATTGAGGGCTGATAAATTTCACTTGTGTTAAGAATATAAGGACAAGAAGCAGAATTAAACCAAAATATTAAAATTTAGTTAAGACGAGTAAGCCAATTCATTAACGGGATGTTTAATTTACGTTATCTAAGGTTACAAGATTACATAACATAATTTTTTATTTATAGAAAATTTCTAGTTTTATTAAAATTAAAAAATATCCAAAATTACATTAGAGATTTACAAACATAATCGTAAACCTAAAATATAATTATAATATAAAAATTAGCCACATATATTGTATAATGACCAAATAAATAAATGATTAAAAAATCTAACAAAAAAACTCAAATAAAATAAAGATACGAACAAATCTGACTGCATCGATAAACAAACCATAAAAGATGATGAAACTACTGAAAAATCACCGACAAATCGTAAATCAGATTCCGCGACGTGAAAAAACTATATATGAACACAAAACACGTATCCAAATCAATTCGAGAGTCCAAAGAAGGAAAAATCATCATGATAACAAATAAGTGTCATATTGATCAGTCCTGAAAATATCAAATCCAACCTTGAGAAAAAAGATAAACAAAAACAACAATAAAAAACTATAAGCAACGATAAAAAATCGTAAACTACCAAAAGATAGCGAAAAACATACCACAAAGACAGAGATAAACGCGTTATAAAGACATAAAACATGTCACAAAGACATAATTATTCTTATTTAAAAACAAAGGAAAAAAATAACCGACGAACGACAACCAGCATTAAAACTGGTACTGTTGCTAGTTAAACAAAATTAAAGAAGAAAAAATTAGATTGATTAATAAAATTGACACAAGTTATAAAAAAAAAGAGAAAAAGAGAAATAAAACAGATAAGATTTTTTAAATGAATTTCAACATTTACATAATTCTGCTCTTACATACTTTAGGTTTTTCTTTGTATTTTTTTCATCAATGATCCAATCTTACCTCACCTAAAATTTTGTAAGTTCACACTTTTAAAATTTTAATATAATTTTTTAAATTCACACCTCGTAACATAAAATCTTACTTCTATCTTGTTTACAAACGTAACAAATTCAAGTCGCATATTCATATAAAAATATAATTAGACATCAACCACCTCTCCCCACTTCACATTAATTTAATACAATATAAAAATTTATAATTTCACTCCTAAATTTTTAATATAACATTTTAAATTCACATCTCCTAAAATAAAATTTTATTTCTATCTATGTTTACCAGCATCCCAAATAGCATATTCATATAAAGATATTACTAAGCATCAACAACCCCACGATTCACATTAATTTTTATCTTTTGACATATCACATATCTTTCATTCATTACTAATTATCTTTCATTCATTACTAATTATTATGTCTCACTCCACATCACAATAGTCATATTTTGACTCAAGATAGGCCAAGACGGATTTAAAATTTTTTGTAAGATAAGCACAAGCATACTAATAATATAAATTTCTCCTACGAGTGAATATAAATAAAATTTTGACTTAATATCAAAATAAATGTCTAAACAATACCATTTTTCATGAATATGTGCCTAAAATATTTTTAATTTATCCTGGTATCTAATGTTATAAATGTTAACAATTTAATTGCTCGGGTCGTCAACGATGTTACTTTATCTCGTTAAGTGACACGTGTCACAATATGATAATTTTAAAAATTTAATTTAAAATTATATATTAAAAAAACATAAACATTTTGAAATAACCTTAAAACTTTGAAAACTTTCATTTCAACCCTAAACCTAAGCCGACTGTCGCCCTTTGCCGTCGACGAAGCTCCACTTGACTTCACCTCCCTCGACGATCAAAACCCCTATGAAGTCATGACTGATCGACGACAAATTGATGTTTTACACCTTGCAAACCCTAGGATAAAAATCGATATCCCACACGATTTCGATAACCAATCGGTGGTAACTACGACGATGTATTACTAGGAGGATAGAAGGGATTACATCGGGGGCGATGGTTGTGGTCGGAAAGGACAACGGTGGTGAGTTAAAGTTAGGATTTGGAGATTTTAGGAATTTTTATAATTTAAGATAAGTTAGTGTTTTTTTATAAATATAATAATATTTTTAATATTTTTTAAAAATAAATTTCAAAATCACCATATTGTGACACATATCACTTAACAGAAAAAATTAATATTATTGATGACCCGAGCACCTAAATAGTAACATTACACACTGTGATAAGTCAAAAAAATATTTAAACACCAATTCACATAAAGAGTATGATTTGAGCACTTATTTTAGTATCCAGCCTAAAATTTTAGGATTGACATCAATGATAAAAATAAAAAATAATAATAAAAAAAAAATTAAATTTTGAAATAGATACGTGCCTACCTGAACTAAGAGTGAGCTTGCCACTGACCACGACCCACTCAGCATTAGGCCGAAACCTCTATCCACATGCATCATCCTACTTAAAAAATAATAAACTCACCTCGTTTGGGCTAACTCAAGCATCCACTAAGCTCCCTAAGGCTGGATCCACCTCTTTCACCAGCTCCATTTTGAAAGATCTCCCTAACTCAGTATTGCATAACATAAAACCTGTTTACCTTATAAGACCATCTCCTACGCTACTTTACTGTAGTGTTTTTCTGTACTGTAGCGTCTCCAATCCTGCGCTACATTTTGCTCTACTGTAGAGAATTGCTATAGTATCACTACATATCTAGCGCAGCATTGTAGTTTGCGCTGTATTTTCTTTATTTTTTTATTTAAAATATATTAAATTATAAAATAAATAAAAATATATTAAAATTAGATAAATAATCATATTATTTTTTTTTGTAATTTTGTATTTTTTTTAAATTTTTTTATATTTATAAAATTAATATTATAATAATTAAATATTGTGAATAAAGTAGAGTTAGTGATAATGTAGAGATAGAGTTGAAGAATAAAGTAGAGTATACGGGAGATGGTCTAATAGCTATATTGAGTCTGGTCACCAACTTGATATGCCAGTGGGTTGTCGCTACAAAAAGCAAGCTTTTTGGTCGACAGGTATAGAACTCCAATAACAGGACCAGCAGAGGTGGACAAGTAGCAGGTCTCAAATGTTGTCCCGAAGATCTTCTCATAACCACCATCTGCTATAACTTTGGTTGTCTGAGCAATTTTTCCTACAGCAGCGTCAGCAAAACTCGGCCTATTTTTCACTACAACAACAAATATTATCCATTCATTTGACAAAATGTAAAAAAAAAAGTACAGAGATAGCAAGGGAGAAAGGGTAATTATCAAAAAGATAGAAACAATTACAGTGTTGCAACGTGTTCTCGGCTATCTCTTTCGCCTTCTTAGTATCGTCCGCCGCTTTCTTCCCCCACTTCCCCAACACGTCTTTCACTGCCATTCGCTGGTAGAGATGGGTGCCGGATGTGAATTGGAATCTGATTGGGAATCCATGGAAACACTGGACCAACTTTCCGGTGGAGGAGCGACGTCCGTCGGGTCTAATTTCGGGTAGGGAGCGTAGTCAGAAGAGACAGTCGGCGGTTGGGTTGACTCGGAGGATGAAGTTGACTGTTTGGTTTCCGAGATTTTCCCATGATCGGTCTGGGGCTGGCTCATCATTTCTTTGATAAAGGAAAATGAGAAGGGAAAATTACAGAAAGCTAATAACGGGATAGGGATCAAAATCCAAAGAAATCGTGAGCCGTCCTCCTTTCTATTTGTCCCAACTTTCAAC